AACTGCAGTCTGATGGGGCGGAAGAACTCCGATCGTTGATGCGAAAAGAAAAGGCAATGCACCAAGGTTACAACAAGACTGCCCCCAGTCGACACCATCGCTTTGGGACCATGATATGGGTCAAACGTGATGACACAAAGCTTTCCACTGTATCCGGTCAGCAAGGTCTAGCGGGCCCAGAGGCAACTCTGCAGCAAATGGATGCCAGCAAAAAGTGGAATAAGCCAAAATACCGTGGCAAAGTGGTTGAGGCCAGTGAGCTCATGGAGTTCGACGTGCCTGTTAATCTTACAGAAAAGGCTCGAGCGCTGCTACGCAATTTTGTGGCAGATTTCGTAGATTCGTCATTCAATCCTCTCTTCTCCAGTTTGCGCAAGGCCATTGAACGTGAAATGGAGCGTGTGGGTGATACCCATCAACGACAATACCTTTACCTCATCCACTGGCTTCTCCGCGCCGAAGCCTCGCGGCGTGAACAAACACCACCATCACAAGGACAGGAAAACGCTTTCACTCACATTGCAGCTGTTCTGGACCAGGAAACTTTTGTTCTCATCAATCGGCATATGCAAAGGGCGTTGGACGAAAAAGCTTGGCACGACCTCCAAGCAACACTCATGGCCTTTACTCAAATCCTGCTCACCGTGCAAGCGGTAGCGGCGAGTGGAGACGAGGGCGACGAAGAGATCGCTGAAAACATACAGCAGCGAATCTTCTACGAAGAGTCCACGCACGACCGCATCGTGCAAATCTTACGCGGCTATTCAAACCAGTCATTCGGCTACCTCGATGCTGTCACAGAATGCGCGCACGTCTTTGTGCGTATGCTGGAGCGATACAGCAAGCAGAATGTGGACCTTCAAATCCGCAGCAAGCGCCGAGTTCATAAAAAGAAAGCCACCAACAACAACGCGGACCAGCAGCAGCCCGCCGGTTCAGACGAAGAGCGAGAAGCGCATCAAACTATCAAAGAAAGGCAATTCGATTTTGCCCGCTTCAGTGCGAAGCTAATGTCCCAAGGCTGCGTCGACACCTTCATCAAACTAACCGGCTACTACAATGAACTCACCCCCGAGCAACTGAAACGCTGCCACCGCTACTTCTACCGCCTAGCCTTTAAACACGACCTCGCCCTCCTCCTCTTCCGCGTCGACATCCTCCAACTCTTCTACCGCATGATAAAAAGCCAACAGCCCCTCGGCGGAGACACCTCTCGTGAATGGGAGCAACTCATCCGCCAAATCTTCCGCCAATGCATCAAATGGCTAACCAAATCTGACGACAACTGGAAAGAAATGTGCATCGTGGAAATGTTATTCAGCAAAATACCAGGCTACACGCACTATCTCCAAACCGGAGAAGCAAAAGTCATCGAAAAACGCACCCCGCGGGCCCCTGCCCAAGTAGAATTCAAACCCAACGTCGACGAAGAGCAAAAAATTCCCATAGCTGTTAGCCTCTTACTCGAAAAATCTCAAGACTCTCTCACCTGGTTAAAGAAGGAGCTAAAACAAGCCATCCTTACCAAAAGCGAAAGCGGCGCGATGATTTTCCTTGTTCCTGACAACGAAGAGCGGAAATCAGCTCTGTTCAGAAATAAACATCTCCGTCTACTGTTATCAACCATAGGAGTCGAGCGTGTGGGTGAGAAAGACGATGCGGATGCGAATTGGATTATTCCTGGAGAGATTTCCGCCGCCAAACTTGAGGGGATTGTGAAAAGTATTGAAAGAGCAGAATTCGACCCACCTTCGGTCGAGACGGAGGACGTTTTACGGAATCAACGCGCACGCAAGGATGTTGTTTCCTCAACCTCCCCCTCCCTCTCTGACGATGAAGAGGAGGGACACATGTTTCCCGATAACCTCCCCGACACGTCACAACGACCTACTAAACGCCGGAAGCTGGAGATCAGGACACGTCATTCAGTAGAAGAAGAAACAGCGAAAGAGAGGGCTGATGAGAGGAAGAGGAGGGAAAAGGAACGGAGAAGTAGGATTAAATCGGCGCTTTATGTTACCGCGTCGGATGATGAGGACGATGAGGAGGCTGATAAAGAGTTTTTTAGACTAGAGGAGGAGAGGAGAAAGAGGTATATTAAAGAGATGGGCGCTGCTGCTGCAAATACGGTGGCCCAGGAGGACGAAGGAAGTGAGGAGGAGGAGATTGGGGGTAGGGATGCTTCGCGTGTTGTTGGGAGGGTGGAGGCGGGGTTTTTGGTTGACGATGATGATAGTGATCATGAGGGAGGGAGTGAGCGGGGGGGTGGGGTGCAGGTGGAGGATGTTGATATGGATGCTGGGTTCGAGAAGACGGCGTCGGTGGTGGGGGCTGAAGATGGTATGGAGGAAGAGGAGGAAGTGCAGCTCAGGCCGGCGAGGAAGAGGACTAGAGCGGGGTTTTTGGATGATAGTGATGATGATGAGTGAGATGATTGTATAAATGTTTACTTCGGGGGGTTGTTGTATGCATGTATACTTATGGTGGGTGGTTAGGACTGGGAGGGGTTGCATTTTCATGCCTACGGGCTGGGAATGTATTAAGGTGTCGTGTATTATAACCTTTCCAATCCATGAACCTATCTGCTTGTTAGGCTGGCTGGCAACAAATCTTCAAACACCTTGAGGTTGGACAGATGACCATCGTCGACCAAATGGTGAGCGAGAAGGTTTTCGCCCTTGTTGTCCGCTGCCAAGACCTACGAGTCAAGTCCGCGTAGTATGGTGTGTCTTCAAGCTAGCACAGCAAAAGAAAACGAGACGCCTTACTTTGAAAAACTTGTCAGACATGCAGTGTGACCGACTAGAACGTTATATTTGTCACAAATCTCACATGAGGTAGACCACCAGGCCGTGGTCCGTGCTTCCCCGCCCAAACCTTCCTTCACGCCAAGCGTCACACTTTACATTTACAGCCTTGATTCTGTTCATATAGCTCTGCCGTTATGAAGCCTAGGAACAACGCAGAAGTGACGGTCGGGTTGCTCCAGCCAAATATACAAATGCTACAGCAAGCGAGTTATCTATTATACTTGTCTGCCGATAAAAGCCTGCATTTCCTTCATTCTATCATTGTTCAACCACCTATTCAGTATGCTCTTGACCTTCTTTCACGGTACCTTACCGAGAAACATTCGTATAGCTTGCTCTGCCAGATCCTTGCTCAATGGTTACTCTGGCGGCTTCTTGCTCGAAATCATACGCGCTCGAGGCATTGCGCCGTCTTCTCAGAGCCGTAATCGCCCCCTCAGGAATACCGGAGGTGGGCTGGGAATTTAATTGAGTCAAACCGGTCTGTTGTGCACCTTCCACAGTCGAGCCATTCTGTTGTGCGCCTTCTGTATTGACCTCATTCTGTTCTTCCTGAACCGGATCGCGAGTGATACCATATCTTCTCAAGAAAGGCAGGATCGTCCGGAGCCTACGCCCTGCCTCCTCATCAATATCGCCGGAATTCTCTGCGTCGAAATCGGCGCTATGAAGCCCGTGGTGGCAGTATTCTTTGAGAATGGCTTCAATGGCTGCTTCGGAAACTTCTTTATCGGGGTTGAGCGCCAATACCACAAGAGCGGAGAAGTAAGTATCACTACCATCACCCTTGAGGACGTTAGAGCCTTCCTCCGAGGATTTCTTATCGTCTCTTTTTCGGTTTCCCCAAAACGTTACAGTTGTGCTTGCAAGGCTACGTGCTGCAACAGAAACCAAGAGCCCAAGCCCAAGTCCAGCGTAAAGAACTCTGTGGTGCTGCATATGCGTTTTGAAAACGGACATCTTCTCAACTGATTGATGCTGGTTCCCGCTGGGGTGTGGAAGTTGCGTGAGTTGTGTCATAAGCCAAGTGCAGTGGTTTAACATAAGCATAGGCTTAAAATGGAAGGTCAGGCTCTCAGGTGAGTTGTAAGCGATGAGTCATGTTATGTGCTCCGAGAGCTGGACTACACTCCCATTGGTGCGTTTTCCAATGGGAAACACAACGAGTAAGTCGTTTGATAAAGAGAGCCTTATTTCCCAATAGCGCAAGTTCTTGCGCTTAATCTGACCGATGAGACTTCAAACTTGAAGTCTCCAGTACATGGCTTTGAAAACCCCAACTGGCGAAGGTGATCATCATACAATGCTCTCAGCCGCTGATATACTGCCTACCTCCACTTTAAGGCTAACAGCGACTCAATAAAAAGGCAAAAAATTGCATTAATGCTCAACCATGCAGTGCAATTCCTTCGGCAAAACCATCTTTCTCTCCATCAACTCAGCCAAGTTCACTGCCGCCTGCTCATTTCTAGTCCGCGATGTCCAAAACGCTTCATATTCCGCCACGGCGGGTCCCCAGTCGACCAGTACCTTCTCCAGCCCAGCTATGTTCCGTTCTAAGTCGTTCAAGAGCTTCCTCTCTTCCAGAGCATTATGTTCCACTATTACTTCCAACTTATCCAGAATCAGTCCAGCCAACGCAAAGCCAACACTCTCGGTGTTCCAATGTAATTTGAAGAGCTCGCGTGCCTCGTTGGTTATGGTTGTGTCAGATATGACGGTGGTGGAGGTGGCGGTAAAGCGCTTTTTTAAGGTGGATGCGTTCGTCCGGAGAGCCGCTAGGCGGACTCGAAGGCTAGCCACGTTGGTGTTGAGCTCAGACATTGTGTAAGCTTTGGGTAGGGTGGAGGGTCAGTAATATGTATGCGTGCAGTCTGAATGCAGCGTTGTCGGGGCAGTGAGGGAAAACCGCACTGCAAGCTAGTATGAATGCAAGGATAATACTGACTCATCGCCAGCGTGAGTCGTAGCTGGAATGTTCCAGATGGCCTTTACACGTGATCACATAATTTTGTCTTATGCGGATTGGGAGAAGCCTGATAACCTGGTAGTCTATTCGTCGGAATGCTGGAGACTCCGTAGGACTAAGGAAGGCTACTTATTGTGCGCGCAACCTATGAGTTTGCGACGTATACGTCAATTAGTCCCCATTAAGAATAGCATAATTCTGAGCAGCTTTTTCAATGGTCGTCCTCATTGGTCTAGTGGTCATGATTTCCGCTTGTCACTTCTTGGGTTACGAGCGCGGGAGACCAGGGTTCGATTCCCTGATGGGGAGCTTTTTTAAACTCTTGATGTGAATTCCTTGGTACGAATGCATCCGTGACATTCTCACTCTTTTAACTGAACATTCTACTCTACCAAAACCCTCAAACTACCTCTCAACACGATGCCTAAGGGGTCTCCAATTGAAGACGTAAAAAGCGTCGATCGGAGAGGGCAATCGGCGATACGAAATATGACAATGCCACATACCTATGTGGCGCTGTTGTATTTCGTACCCTTACCTTAAAGTTCAACAGCGGCCAAAAACAGAGATAAGAAAGATGTACATCAACCCTTGGGGTTACAAACCATCCCTTATGAAAAATCAATCACGCTCTCCATGAGATCAGCCAAGTTCTAACCCTGCGTAGCATTCTCATATTCAGCCGCAGCGCATGCCAAATAAGTCAGCAACCCTTCCAGAAAGGTCATCAATTCTTCCATGTTGACCAAGTGTTCCGCTATGCGCCATTCTTGCAAGTCGAGCCAGGAGGCCGGGAAGCCATCGCCACGGTTGACCGACCTCACTGTGTTACAAACTTCCAATAACAACCCCACAACATGCAAATGCCGATCAAAAATCTTAAAAGCTTGGCTCTCATGGCCTCAGTACCTCTCGTGTACCAGGCATGCTCCAGGAGTAACGGTTGCGTTTAACAAAATGGTGGTGGTAATAGCCGCGAAACGCTATTTCAAGGTGGATAAGGTCGCGTGGATAGCGGTGAGGCGGGTAGAAAGCCCAGCCAACCTCGTGTCGATAAAGGACATCTTGAGAAAGACACCGTTTGGGAGAGTAAGTAATGTGTGTGTGTGTGTACTCTCGATGCAATGTTGTTGGGACAGTGGTTGAAAAAAATGCAGAGAAGGCACTTAGTCATTGCGCGAGCTGTAGCTTCCCACACAGAGAGGCCGGCTGAACGATACTCGGAGCATTAAACTCTCAGTAGATAATTGTTCCAAGACGTGATCACGCAAATTGTTTCTGACAAATGGGAGGAAGCCTGCTATCGGTTCATGATCACGTGGACGACAAAACCAAAGTAAATCATTTGCTCAACGCTTAGCCTTACGATCTACCCCATACGGTTAATTCATTTCGCTTTCCATGAGATCAGCCAGGTCCTCCACCGTTTGTTCGATCCGATCCTGCATGACATCCTCGTATTCAGCCACTATGGCTTCCACGATACCTAGCAGTTCTTCCATCATGTTCTTCCCAAGCTCAACGAGGGTTAAGAAATGCGAAAAGCGCTCATCTGGCTCGGTCATCGTCCTCTTCGCGCTATAGATACGCAACATTTCTTCCAGCGTAGCTAAAAGGTTACTAATATCCGTAAAGCCCTCCTGCTCCCCGTCCCATAACATCTCGCGCATCTCTCTTGCTTCGGGAGTTGTCAAATCGACAGCGGGGATGGCGGCGTAGCGCTGCTCCAAGGCGGATATGGTCGTGTGAATAGCGGCAAAGCGGGCAAAAAGGGTAGCTACCCTGGTGTTAGAATCAGACATCCTATAAGACATCGGGTTGGTGGAGAAGGGTAAGGTATGTGTGTGTGTGTGTGTATGTGTATATGTGTATTCTTTGAAAACAATAATGCTACCCGGCTCGTAATTGCAACTCGCGTTGTGAGCTAGTAGAAATGCAGGGATATTACTGGCTTATCGATTGCTTGAGTTGTAGCGCCCGGTACTGAGTATTGACTGCTTTGGTTGACTGTCCCAAATAATCTCCACGCATGGCCATGCAGATCTTTGGGCGGATGGTAAGAAACCCGTGATCGGCCCGTGATTGTGTTGTCTGTACATCACAATACTGGTAGGCATTTACATCGTGATACTGTGCTAGAAGTTGATGAGGGCTCATCACAGTATTCCACCCATCCTTCCTGTCAATGTACAGTAGCAGTTTAGCAGGATGAATATGCATAAGATTTTATACAATGGTTCTAGGAGGACTCTCCAGCTTGACAGGCTGACTTTGTGTTCTTCAGCTAGGCTCAAATTGGCAACGGTCGTGCGCCTTCCGGCAACACGCAATGCAAAACCAACAACATGATACATATGTGGATGTTTTCAACTGAAAAGAACTAAATAAATTTTCTTTTGCATTTCAAACATGACTGGCAAGAGCCGGCGACTGTTAATATGGTTGTAAACACATCGCACCATGCCCGAAGATATAAATATCACTTAAAGCATCTCATTTAATGCAGTCCGCATTGGTATAGTGGTCATGGTTTCAGCTTGTAACTTGTTGGGTTATAAGTCGGGACACCAGGGTTCGATTTCCCGATCGAGAGTTTAATTTTTTAAACGCGTGACGTGAAATTTTAGAAGCCGTAGTGCCCGAGACGATCTCACTCTTTGAACGAGACATTCGACTTTACCAAAACTCTCTAGTTACGCCTTAACGCAATGTGTCGGAGGGGTGAACCTTCGAGGACTCAAACAGAACGTAGATCATAGACAAATGTGTGCACTCAACTCTGACCAAAAGTTGGATGTAGATGTCTATCTCTATTTGAGGTAAGGTTCAAAACCCTCTCCACACTACCTTAATCCAACCGCATTCGCCAGGACAATATCAGCTAAGACGTGATGTCTGGGTCAAAAGGTGTGTATAACTGTGTACGTATCTACGTGCTGAGAGCTAATGCAGCGTCCTCCACAGACCCACGGTTGGCCAGACCCTATTTGCCGAGACCACACGATGAAGTGACCTCATCACAGGCGAAAACTCCTCTATGAGGCAGAAAACCCTGCGAAGCCTCGGGCGTTCTAACTATCACCGATCTACCTCATATGACACAGGGTTCACCGTGCTATCAGCGAACCATCCCTTAAGCATGAACGAGACAATGACCCGTCTCAGGGAAAGCTTCCTCTATAGAGGTAAAATCCTGAGAAGTTTCGACTTCTATCTAGGGTTCTGGTCATGGTGAGTGCCACATCCTTCTGACACAATGCCTGACGGAGTCTCCAATGTGAGATGTGAAAAAGGGCTGATTGCCTGTCGGTACAGAGTTACATATCCCCTCATCCTAGGGCTCAACAGAAGCCCAAAACAGAGACAAGAAAGACGTGCATCAGCTATCAGCGGTACAAATCACTACTTGCGACAAATGAAACAAGTTCTCCATGAGACCAACCAGGTTCTAAACCTGCATAGCAGGCCATGTTCATCCACGGCGCTTCTCACATCATCCAGTACCTCTTCCAGCAAGGCCATCCAATCTTCCATGTCGATCACGAGATCCGCCAAGGCCCGTTCTCCTATGTTGAATTTGGGGTTTGGCAAGCTCTCGAAACACGCGAGATTCCTCGCTTTCTCGCTACATAAAGGCAATGACAATTCCACGCGGCGCCAATACCGATTAACGCTCTTAAAACCTTGCCTCTCGTAGTCCCAGTATATTTCGCGCATCTCGTGTGCTACCCGTGTGACTGTTGCGTTAGACAGAAAGGTGGCGGAAATAGCGGTGAAACGCTTTTCCAAGCTGGGTATGATCCAGAGGATATTAAAGAGGCGGGTAGAAAGCTTATCTACACTGGTGATGATAGCGGCCAATACGAAGAAATGTAGGTCGGGAAAATAATCCATTTTATGTGTGTACTCTCGATGCGGTGTTGTTGGGGCAGTGCTTGATGACGCCTGGTAAATTGATAAAAATGCAAGGAGATCACTTACTCATCGCTGGCATGAGTTGTAGCTTCCTGCGCGGGACGGTCGAATTAAAGATACGCGGGGCATTAAAACTCTCCGCAGAAGACAGTCTTGATACATGATTACGTAGATGGTGTTTGACAAATGAGAAGAAGTTCGCGACCGGCACATAACCGCGTGCGTGGAACCCGAAACGGAAAGAAAGTATTTACATCAACGCTTAGGTTACGATCCACTCCTTACGACTCATCCATCACGCTCTCAAAGAAATTAACCAGGTCCCTCACCGTCTGTTCAATGCGATTCTGCGTAACACCCTCGTATCCAGCCACGATGATTTCCAAGGCATCTAGCAACTCTTTCAAATTGTTCGTCCCAAGCTCAGCCTCGTCTAAGAAATCCGAACAGTCTTCATCGGGCTCGATCATCGCGTTGTAGATACGCACAATCTGTTCCAAATAGCCCAAAAGGTTATTAATCCCAGTAAAGCCAGCCTGATCCTCGTCCCAGAGTATCTTGCGCATTTCGCGTGCTCCGCTGGTGGCCAAATCGATGGCGGGGATGGCGAGGTAGCGCTGCTCCAAGGCAGATCTGGTCGTGCGGAGGGCGGCGAGGTGGGCAAGAACCCTAGCCATCCTGATATTACAATCTGACATTCTATAAGAATTCGGGTTGGTGGAGAAGGGTGTTTGTGTGCGTGCGTTCGTGTGTGTGTGCTCTCTGAAAAAATAATACGATGTAACCGGGCCCGTGATTAAGAACCGCCTTGCGATCCAATATAAATCCAAGCATATCACTGGCTTATCGCTGGAATGGGTGGTAACGCCCTCTTCGGAGCCTTGCAACATTTGGGAGAATATTTAATCCTATATATGGCACGCAGAGCTCTTCAGCGGATGGTAAGCTGATCAAAGTGCAAGGAGATCACTGACCTATCGCTGGACGAAGTATTGGGTCTCTTCACAGACCTTCGAACATAGTTTCCACGCACTATTATGCAGATATTCAAACTGGTGGCAAGGAGCCCGCAATCGGCTCGTAATGTGTGACATATACATCAAAGATCGATGCAGGCTCAACACCGTCGACATTATTCATCACCCAATATTTTTTTCTTGCAAACCACAGTAGCAGTTCAGCACAATATATGCAAGGGTGTTCACAATGCGCTCGATACGCCGCACTCCACAGTACTATGTTCCCAACTGGTCGAGCTTTATTTCACCCTCAACTGTCCGTCTAAGGGAACATCCCACTTTGCTGACCACTTCTGGCCTCCCAAACTCTATTGCAAACACCCATTCAACCATATACCCGAGGATATAAACAAAACTTTAGACATCTACTCTAAC